CTAGGACCACCTTTTTTGATCCAACATCACTTGACTTAGCTCATCATGACTTTGATAAGAGGTATCTAGTATTGTGGAAGAAAATGAGATTCAATCAAATTCAACGTTTAGGTCTTGGAAGGTGACGGCACATTCACTTGAAATATTGGGGAACTTACTTTATTAAAAAAAAAAAATCATTCACAGGATGTGGACATCTTTGCCTGGGCCAACATTTATTGCCAATCCCTGACTGCCCAGAGTATGGTTAAGAGTCAAACACATTGCTATGGGTCTAGAGTCACATGTAGGCCAGAATAGGTAAAGATGGAAGCGTCCTTCCCTGAAGGGAATTAGTGAACCAGATGGGTTTTCCTGACAATCGACAATGATGGTCATTGCTGGTCTCTTAATTCCAGATTTTTACTGAATTCATATTCCATCATCTGTCGTGGCAGGATTTGAATCCAGGTCCCCAGAACATTATATCTGGGTCTCTGAATTGACAGCTCAACAATAATACTATTAGGCAATTGCCTCTCCACTTGGAGATTGAGCAACAGCTTGCAACACTGGCAGGGGCAAGGATTGGTTTTACGAGAAAGGGGCAGTAACAGGAGAATTTGGGGAGAGGGTACATCACTTGAGAGAGATAAATTAACAAAATCAGCTAGGATGGATGCTAAGATATAAATCAAGTGGTCTGCAATTTAGTGGCAATGAAGTTTCATGGACAAGCCGAGCTTGAAATTGGCATGACTGAAGATATGAAGAAATTGTGCAAATGAGAGTGTTAATGGCAAGGGCAGGGGTGTACTTTAGAGAAAGTTTGGCCTGGTAGCTAGCAAAACAGAGGAAAGCAGCTGGTTCCGATTTCAATTTCGGTGATAAAAATCCACACACTTGAATTTGAGAAAGGAGGAGACAGTGGAGAGGAATCCTCTAGAAATCTATAAAGGGTCTCAGGTTTTTAAATCACAATTAATGGTTATACTTGAAAAATACAATTAGAATATTTTCTTAACAGTGAGTGACTAGGAGCTGCGGAGGAGCGAAGAGATTTGTGTGTCCTTGTACTCAACTTAGTATTTATTAGCATTGAGAAAAGTTAATAGTATGCTGGTCTTTACCTCAAGAAGGTAGGAATTCAAAAGCAACAAAGTGATGCTTCAATTGAGCGGGTCTCATTTGCAATATTCCATTCAGTTTTGGGCACCTCTCAGGAAATCTCAATACATCAATCTTGGAAAGTGCACTATGCAAATTCACTTGATTCAAACAAGAGTTAAAGGATTAAATCCTTACAATGGATTAGGAACTAAATTGTGTGGAAGGAATCTCAAATTTGGATAAGAAATTTTATATCAGTCCCTTTGGCCACGATATTAGATCATGTAGTTTTCTCCACATGTATGGAAGCCTGTATTGCGAATGTCGTAAACATGATAGCCCATAGTCTTTACCCCAGCACAGTTTGCAAATCTGGTTGAAGTACTTTTCTTGTATTGAATGGCACTGGTATTAGATCACTATCTTTGCAAAAAAAGTTGAGATGCTATTTCAACCTTAGCAGAGAAAAATAATTTCAATTCACTGCAGTATGTGAGGGGCGTTCAGACCCTTAATTATACTTGGCCTCAATGTTCATTATGGGCAAAAATGACATCTTCAGCTTGATATTTATATGTGGACCTCAATAATTGTCAAAAGGATTTAAACGACTTGTTAGCTGCAATTTGAAAAGGAAACATTTATACCACGATTGCTGTATTTCAGCACTTAACTCTACAATGCTTTATAAAAGAATATTAATTAGCTCAAGTATAATAATATGGAAGCCTATCTGAGGTATCCAATGTAAAACAGTGACAATGTAGAGCCATGCCAACTTTGTTATCTCACTTACACAAATTTGTTCCAATCTCTTCAGATTTCAGAAAGGCGAATGGCCTTACATAAAATAATATTAGTCATAAAGACAGGTTGGATCAACTTGGATTTATTTTTGCTAGAGCAGAGGCTGAGGGACGGCCTGATAAAAGTATGTAAAATTATGAAATGCCTTTTTAGGGTGAAGAGTCTTTTTTTCTCCAGCTTGGAAGTGCCAAATATAGAGGGTGGTAGGTGCCTGGAACACGCTGCTGGCCAAGTGGTAGAAGCAGACACAGAGGTGTTTAAGAGGCATTTAGACAGGCACATAAGCAGGCAGGAAAGAGGGGGATCTGGACCATCCGCAGGCAGATGGGATTGGTTTAGAATGGTAGAGTGGCCAGCATAGACATAGCGGGCTGAAGGGCCTGTTCCTTGGCTGCACTGTTCTATATGTCCTATACAATGGTTCAGAAAAGGTACAAAGAGTATGCCTGATTGCTTACAAAAGATGCATTTTTAATTCAATGCAAAGCTTTGAAGGAAACAGCCTGATTTTTGTAGCAGATACCATGTACCAATAAAAAGAGAACTGAGTCGCTCTTGCATGGTGCAACTGCTCCGGCAGTTCTGCTCATGTGGAAATCTTCAAGGCACCCATACAACTTGAGAGCTAAAATCAGTCAAGTGCCATGATTTGGCATTTTTAAATTTCATTCCAATTCCATCTTGTGGATTCCACAGTTTCAAGGCTTGTTTTTTTTTTGAGACAGACTCTAATTAAGAGAGAAACTGAGAGAAAAGCAGAGAAAGGAAACTCACCCTTCCGGTTTCTAAGGAAACAAAAATGGACTGAGATTAGAAATCAAAACTCCTGGGAGATAAATTGGATTAAGCATTTGGAAAGGAAAAATACAGCCTTCAAAGTTCAGTAGAAATTGAGAATTCAGTGGTACTGTAGGCAAGCAGAAGAGAAGGCAATGTATAATCTGAGAGCATACAAAGATGCAGTTGCTGCAACCGTTTCTGTTACTCAAAATTAACAATGGTGGGCTTATACCATCCAGACCAAGTGGAGGAAGTCTTGCATGCGTGGCTGTTTTTGGCGTAGATGGTGCCTGTGGAACTTAGATAGGTCGCATGCTGCTGTTGAACTGCAAAACAAACCAGCTCCTAACAGAGGAGATACATTTTTTGATGAGATGGAGTTAAGAATTTTGTGACTGAGCTTGATGACTGATATACTGAGTGGAATTTTGAGCAAATTAGTGAGATTTTTTAGTTATATTTGCCATTTAATGTGTAATTTATAGTTTAAAATGAACCACAATTTGCTAATTAATTTATGTTTAACTAATGTGGACTTTGGGTTTTTTAAGTAAAGGTGAGTAACTAAAACAGTATTTAGTAATCTAAACTGTAGAATCACGTGGCTTTATTTTGCTAGAAAATAACTGTCATTTTGGATTTCTTCTACTGTTTAAAATACCTACTAGCCTCTACTTCAGACATGAAAGTACTGATTTCAGGAATAATAGATCAAATGAAAAGATCAGAAATCCCAAGAAAGGTTGTTACAATAAACTAACTGTGCTCATCTGCTAGACATAAAAAAAACAAGAATTCCATTCAAACAAAAACCCTTTGTGGCTCAATATTACTGGAATTTAGTTTGGGGTCAGATGTGGGTGGTGGAAGATACAAGTATAACTATACGTGTTTGAAAAGATTTTTATATAATTAGAGTTCTTCCACCTTTTAGCTTTGATGTTTTGCAACAAGTTATCAAGTGGTCTTCAGACATGTTTATATTTTTGTAAAAATCTAATCTATACTTAGAAATCAAGACGATATGTGAGTGTACAACACGCCGTACACCCCTTTTCAGGAACCAAATATTATGTAAAAACATAAGTGTTATATTGCTGCTCAGTAAAAACATGGATTAGATTTCAAACTTGGGGATTTTCCATTCTAGACAAATGATTGTTATAAGCATTTAATTAAGTGCTCAAAGATCAAAACAAAAGGAGCTTAGATCTAATCCCATACAGCAGCTTTGTAATGACAGAGCTTTTGAATTTTTAAGCATTTGGGAATGTTATTTCCCACTTTTGGGATCTGACAGCTCAGCCTTTAAAATCCATACTTGTTTGCAAACTCAAAAAACTAACTATTGTCATGGAAAGCTTATTCTCAACATTACTCACAACTGACGGAAATATTTACAATTTGGCACAGCTGCTAGTTGGAAATGCCAGTACTGTGAAGTCGTCAAGAAGAATTACTTAGAATCAGAGATTAACTTGAGTATTGTATGTGCATTTAAACTGTGATGTTTTGGCATTTCCCACTTCTAATGAGGTTAAAGTTACTTCTGCATAAGCTCATTTTGGGGCTAAATGCATGCCCTGAACCAATGCTAGCACTCCTTGTCAGAGAAATAATATGTACATATGGTAACCACACCAAATCTTATTATACAACTTTTAAAAAATTTCTCCTCTATGACAAAATATTTAAATACTGTAATTAGCATTTCTGATGCCTGGTAGGAATGGTTCAAGCCCTCTTGCGTGGATATTACATTGAAACTTTGCAATTTTAAAAGTTTGACAATTACAATCGGCAAGTGGCTACACAATTCCTATTATTGCAAAATATTTCTCGCTAATTTTACCCTTCTTTGAATGCTAACTGACCTAACAAACGCACATTTTTCAGTTAACAGCTAAAACCAATGCTTATTTAATACACAGAATCTTACTGAAGATGGAGGGCAACTTTTTCAACTTGCATTGAATCACTTACTTTGGGAGGTACTGAACCTTGGAAGACTATTTTAAAATAGTCAAGAAATTTTAATATTTAAAGTGTTGTCATAAAAAGACCAAATGATACTGGAGAATTTTCAGTTATCAAACATGCTGAACACAAACATTAATAAACCTCATTTTTAATGTAATGCTTAGATGTCATAATGAAGGTAAATAAAACTGCAGTGTTCGATTATGGTTTCATCTTTTGCTTAATTTACAAGTGGAAGGTAGGTTTATAATGTTTTTAAAAAATTCATGAAGTTCCTCCCCGAAGACAGAAACGTGCGAGAAAACAATGAGAGCCTGCAGCATCAATTAAAGCTAGTACAGTACCTTTTTTCTCCCCTGTGAAAGGTACATAATCTTCCCTGTCTTTATACTCCAAGGCCTGTTTCTCCAAAAACGCTAAGAGTTGATCTCTATCAAAGGGGCCTGTTGGGCTTTTGACAGTCTGGTCCTTCTGACGAAAGCCTGCTGGCAGGAGTGAATGCTAGCACATCAGAGAAAACGCATTATTTTAGATGTCTGAACAAAATAGTCCATCAAGCACCTCTAAACATGTAGATACACACAAAAAGCATGCACAATTCAAAATTCACAAGCCTTACAGACAGAGCATATGCTGTACATTTAAACATACTTTGACTTGTAGAAGTAACAATAAATAGAATGAAACATCTACTTCTATCCAGAATATTAAAGGGAATGTGGCTCCCACTCAACACCTGGAGATCAGAACAAACTGAATGATGATTAAAAATATAACACGTACAAATGTAGAAGTGTGTTTGGTTCTAATTTGCAGCTTTCTACCTTGTCCTTACAGTGATTAACTTGTCAGAATGTACGTTTCAGTACTGCAGTGCAGATATTCAAATCTTAATAAATTGGTGCGAGTTTGGCAGAGCGAGCGCATGGGCAGGGGGCAGAGAGCACGTTGGTGTGGGGGTACAGAGCACACACGTGCGGGATGGAAACAGAGCTGATGTGTGCAAGCCAAAAAGCTTTGGTAGCATCTCCCTTTATTGTGCGATAGCTACTTTACTGTTCATCATTCAGATTCCTCCATGAATTACTGAAGTAATCACTGTTTCCCTATTAGTGCATCATTGAGAAATTAATTGCGCATTCATTGACAATAACATCTCAAGGAGTACCAACTCCTGTCAATTTTCTCTTTTCTTCAGGACATTCTCCACATTAGAGGTGCCACATAAATCATTTGCTTCAAAAAGCTGAAATACACATACACTTTGTTGCATCTTTCCTCATCTACCCTAAATATCAATTCTCTAAATATCCCATTCCGACACCCCAAGTTGTTAATTATAGATCTTCTAATGAACAAAAATGTTTTTAAAAAACAAAACTTTACTTTTTCCTTTATTATATAATATGCTAATTTGAGGCTAATTGTCATAATTGCCAAAACCCTCTTATTAACTTTCATGCCCAAAAGCTTCAGGGTGCGTTACATCCCAATTTTCCTCTCCTCTATTGGTCTCTCCATTCGAAAACTTAATCCAACTCCTCACATACTTAAATGGACAGGAGAGGCACAAGCACTTTTTGAACAATGAATATTCACAGGAAATGAATTTTCAGCGGGTACTGGCAAAATGAACAAAATTTAAACGTACAAATCTCAAAACAGAAAAGATTTCAAGATTTGGTCAAGAATGATTCACTAATTTTGAAAGTAAGGACTTGAACTTGTATTAATCCTCAAAACACTAAAATTACAGCCAACAAATTCAAGACTGCAGTTGTAACAAATCATATAAATTCATTTTGAGCAAAACAATGAAGTGTGACATCACTGGAACTGGTAGGTGGTGAAAGGTGGAACACTAGTTCAATTTTCCATACCAATGAATTACTGAACAGTTACATGTCTATGGTGAAAAAGCCAAACATTAAAGATTGGGGAAGAACATTACACTATGGACTGGCTGAGCAATGTTTGGAAAATGTACAATACAAGTTCCGACCTCTTAATTTCTATCAACCAATCTCAGATGATTACCACCTATTTAATTTCTCCAAAAATAGATGTTAAATAACTTAGTTTGAAGTTATACCAATTTCCAAAATAAAGTACATTATCCCTGGGAGTTGGTGGATAAAGAATTTCAAACCCCACCTCTGGATCCAGTTCCTCAAGGGCAGTTTCCAGCTGCTTCAATTCTTCCTCACTAAGTTTGCCAAGAAGCTCGTCTTCATCAATATCCTTGTACTTCTCAAGGTCCTTCTTGAATGGCAGCGCCATCTCTTCAGCAACAGTAACTTGTGGTCGCTTATTCTGTAGAAATCTAAAAATTCAGTCCTTAACCAGGCGCGTAGTTTTCTACCAAGAAAAATATAAAACAAGATTTTAAACCAGTGTGCAAAGCTTCCCCAGAATACATCCTGAAACTGGAAAAGGGGGGGTTCAAACTCCCAAAACAGCTTTGAAAGGAAATATCAACATTTTCCCCCAAAAATACAATAAATCAAAACAAAATCCCTCAAGTATTGTACTTGCTTTGCTGATAGCTTTAAGAGCTATACAATCCAAATGACGGAGCCTCAGGTATCAGCCTTAACTCAAAGGCACCTCTTACCTCATATCTAGAAGGACATAGGTTGAAAACTTACTCAAGTGAATAGAAAAATTTTTTTAAAAAAGAGGTTTAAATACAATCGAGGCCAATACTTCACCACAATACCAAAAGGAAGCTGCAGAGTTAAATTTACCATTTTTCAAAGAGAGCATTAAACTGAGACTGTGCTTCTGTCTCAGGTATTAAATATTTCAACTACTCAAAGAATCAAAATTCTTATATCCTGGTCAACATTATCCCACAATCAATATCACTAAATCTAATTTCTAATTGCATCAGCGTTGTTTATAGAACCTTACGTGCAAATTGCTTGCCACATTTCTCAACATTGGAACAATTTGTTTGCTCATTGGTATCATCCCTTTCCCAGATATTTGACTGTCACGGATCTCCACCTGCCTGTCCTTGTGCCGCACTTACGCATTTCACATCAGTCAAGTGCATTCATTTTACCATTAATTTCTCCTTCCATTAATTTTTTCCACCTACCATCCGGCCCAAAAAATCTGACCAAGATATTGTATCTTTCTCTTTGTTGATATGCACTAGTTTCCTCTTTCTTCCAGCCAGCCATATCCAGCACTTCATTAGTCTATTTGTGTATGATATGCTATGCATCTCCTTTATGTTCACAAATTCAACGCGTTCAACTTATCAGTATTCTTTCTTTGTAGATGGACAGGCGTATGGACGAAAGAATAAATGATCTTTCATCCCATATATCTTGAAGATACAGAAAAATGTTTTGTCACCACAATCCGGCGCCAATTTGAGTTACAAGGAGAGAAAGACGTTACTTAAATAAGAGTTTATCTTCCATTCAAATTTGATCTCAAGCATGGCTTCAGGGCTTCGGCAAGGTGGTCCTGTCCTCAAAGAGTCTTGTTCTGGCAACAGCAACAGTGATACCGTCGCCCCTGGAGACCCCAGCTCTGCTGCCACCAACTCACCAACACTGCCACCAGTCCAGGCTCTGGGCCTACTGTTGCCAAAAGCCCAGACCCTGGGCACTGCCGATGCCAGGAATCCTCGTCCATGCCACAGACGCTGCAACTACCGCCTCATTGACACCTCTCAGGCCCCAAAAGATGAAGAAAGGAAAATAAAGAAGAAAAGCAAAAAAGATGAAAACTACGTGGAGATAAGATGCCTCCAGCACGAACACAACCTACCATGCCGGCACCATCTTGAATTTTATGCTATGCATGTAGTTCATGCCTCAGAGGCATATTGACAGATGGCAAAATGTAGCACATCCACGTTCTTTTCCCCAGGTTCGGTTTCTATTGCAACTACGCCTGAAAATAGATTCATTGCGAGCAAAGCACTTTGAGACATCCTTAGGTTGTGAAAGGCACAATATAAAGTTATTTTTGTAAACAGCTAATGACTTCATTAAGTGGAATCTTTAAAGGAAAAAGTGAACTTTACAGTGCTTTTTGCATTCTACCACATTGCTTTTACTGACAAGTCTTACTGCAGAATTGATTTCTGTCAATTTATGTTAAGAAGAGTAGTAAATGTACGGTTGTATGCAAAATAGGGTCAAAAATCACATACCACATATAATGCTGTCATAGAAGAAAAATCAAATTAGCACTTTGGCTCCAAAGAAGAAGTACCTTTACAGGATTTAGACTGCCAAATCAGTCTCTCACTAGGAGTTAGAAATTGAAGAACTGCCAGTACCTGAATAATGCGCTGAACGGGGCTATGCCTGTAAACAATTAAATCTTTCTACTGCCCAACCCCAGCATCTGGCATTCCACGAGACACACCATAATTAACTCCCTCTTTTTCTCAATCAAAAATAAGCACGCAACAAGTTGCGAGTGAAAACAAGTTAAATGTTGTTATTTGAAGTTCACAATGATGTCTTGAGGCCCATCCCTAGCAGTGCTTTCCATGCATATAATGATCTGGACGTGGCAATCTAGGTTAAAGTCTGCAGGTGACAAAAAAAGTCAAAATAGAAACAAACAACAAACTTCAAGAGGATATTGACAAACTGGTGAAATTAGCAGAAAACAGATTTACGTTGTTTGGAAAAATGAAAGGTAATAGAAGCAAAATAATACAATTTTAAAGTGAACATAAGACACCCTTGGCTGGACATAAGCAATTGATTGAAGGTCAAGTTGAGAATCTGTTCAGAGGAGGAGACTTTTCTTTTAAAAAAAGAGAGGCAGGGAATACAAAAGTAAGGACATCGTGCTAACCCTTCATAAAGCAAGGCTAGACTCCAGGTAGTGTATTAGCACGTACTGCGGATTGGTTAACAGAACACAGGGTCAGGATTAATGGGTGTTTTCAGGTTGGAAAAACACAACTAGTGGAGTGCCTCAAGGATCAGTCCGAGGGCCTCAATTATATGCCATCTTTCTTAATGGTTTGTAGGAGGATCAAATTCCAATTTGATCACGCAAAAATAAGTGGAGGGGCATATTGTCATGAGACAATAGGTGTCTCCATATGGATAAAGATAGGTTCAGTTGGTGGACAAAAATGGCAGATGGAGTTTAATAAGGGAAAGTGTGAGGTCATTGTCTTTGGTAGGAAGGAACAAACTGCATACTGTGGTTCAAATGGAGAGAGACACCAAAAATGTGCAGCACAGAAAAATCTGTGCTCTTGCACACGACAGAAAGTTTGCACATAGGTGTAGCAAGTAATTAAGAAGCCAAATGGAATTTTTGCCTTTAGTGCTAGGAATTGAGAATCTAAAAATAGGGAACTATTTTTACAACTGTACAGGGTGTTGGTGAGACCAGACCTAGAGTACTTCATACAGTTTTGGACATGCATTTAAGAAAGGATGCATTGGCACTAGAGGCAGTTCATAACAGATTCATTAAGATGATTCCTGGGATTAAGGGGATGACATATCAAATGACTAAAAAGCTTAGCCTCATTCATTTGAGCTTAGAAGAATAAGGGATGATCTTATTGAAACATACAAGGTTTTAAAGGAGGTTTGATTGCGTAGATATTGAGAAATGTTTCCACTAGTGGGGAAAATCACAATTTAGGGAATATAATTATAGAATAAAGGGGGAATTCATTTAAAACTGAGTTACGAAAGAACTTTGCTTACAGGGTAGTGAATATCTGGAACTTCTCTACCCCAGAATTGTGAAGGCTAGATCACTGAAAGTATTTAAAGTGGAAGTGCATAGATTTTTGGAATATCAAAGAGGGCTATGAGGAGCTGGTACAGAAGAGGAATGAGACCTGGGATAGAGCAGCCATGATCTTATAGAAGAGAGCAGTGGGCTTAAAAGGGTTTGACAGCCTACTCCTGCTCCTATTACTTACATTCTTACATAACTTCATATAAAGTACTGAGATCAAAGTTATAGAATTGATGAACATTGTAACTTAAGAAATTAAATTTCACTCACTTATATAAAGCGTGTGTACCACTGTCTATTTGTTGCTGTACATGCAGTGTTTGGATACACTAAATTATTTGTATGCCCAAATATAACATGATTGAATTGTCCAGGTTAAAAAAAATTGTTGTAAAGAAAGATGTTGCTGGGAGGCTTGCCAACCTTCAGCATAATATAGACTCAAAATTAACCACAGTATCTAAAAATGCAACAAGACTCTGGTTTGGTATACACCCAAAATGAAATAATTTATCTCCTCTTGCCCCTGTCCTCCAAAAAAAATTGCACTGTCAATTCTACAAGTTACTTTACAGAAATTTACCTCGTTTTTCTTTTGTCCCTCCAATAACCCAGCAACATTTTCATGGTTAAGTGGATACAGAGCAAACTTTGTTTTAATCAGCACCTTATCAACTGGCACTCTTGATAAACTGGCAAAAATTATATGCCTCAAGTATGGAAGGTTCTTTTTCGGACTGATGGCCTGGGACCAGCAGTGTTGGGCAGGGATCAGCACTGGATCCACTTTTGGTTGTCATTTATATAAATGATTTAGATGAGAATATAGAAGGCATGGTTAGTAAGTTTGCAGATGACACCAAAATTGGTGGTATAGTGGACCGTGAAGAAGGTCATCTAAGATTACGAAGAGATCGTGATCATTTGGGTCAATGGGCTGAAGAGTGGCAGATGGAGTTTAATTTGGATAAATGTAAGATATTGCACTTTGGTAAAACAAAAGGGCAGGACTTATACAATTAATGTTAGGGGCTTAGGTGGTGTTGTACAACAGAGAGACTTAGGGGTTCAGGTACATAATTCTTTGAAGGTTGCATCACATACAGATAGAGTGGTTAAGAAGACATTTAGTACGCTTGCATTCATTGCTCAGACCTTTAACTATAAGAGTTGGGGCGTAACGTTGACAGTGTCCAAGACATTGGTGAGGCCTTTTCTGGAGTACTGTGTCCAGTTCTGGTCACCCTTTTATAGGAAGATATTAAGCTGAAGAGAGAGTTCAGAAGAGATTTACTGGGATGTTGCCTGGCATGAAAGGTTTGAGTTATAAGGAGAAGCTGAACAGGCTGGGACCTTTTTTCACTGGAGCTTAGGTGGTTGAGGGGTGTCCTTAAAGAAGTTTATAAGATCATTAGGAGTACAGATAAGGTGAATGGCAGGTGTCTATTCCCTAAGGTGAGGAATTTCAAGACTAGGGGGCATATTTTTAGGGTGAGAGGAGAAAGATTTAAGAGAGATATGAGGGACTTTGTCTGTTTACAGAGTGGTTCGTGTGTAGAATGAAGTCCCAGAGAAAGTGGAGGATACAGGTATTATTACAACATTTAAAAAGG